CCCCCGCGGGCACCCCCGCCTCCAGATGCCCTGTCTGCGCAAGGTGAGCGGAGCCGGAGCCGCGGGGAACGGGGCACCGCCGGGCACCGCCGGGGCGGGTATCGGCACCGCCGGGGCGAGTATCGGCACCGCCGGGGCGGGTATCGGCACCGCCGGGGCGGGTATCGGCACCGCCGGGCGCTGCGGATGCGCCGGCACCCGGGGACACCAGGCGCTGGAGCCGCCCTAGGCTCCGCGGAGACCCGGGGGGCACCCGATCGCCCGGGAGCATCACAGGGCACCGGGCATCACGCGGGCATCGTCATGACTGCGGGTGGCACCGCACGGGGCAGGGACCCCTGTCACTTGCTCRCCCACTGCTCCTCAGCCTGAAGCGCTGCCAGGGATGTTGGTTCCCCGCATTGGGACTCCCTGTCCCAGCGAGGTCCCCACGCCTCGCTGTCACACCCGGGTGCTCCCCAGAGCCAGGACAGGGTGCTCCATGTGCTGCCAGCCTGTGTCCCGAGTAGCTGTGGGGTGCCAGGCTGCCCTGGGCACTGAGCTGAGCTCGGCCGGGGCTTGCCCGGCAGATGGAGCGGATGATCGTCAGCATGCAGGACCCGGACATGGGCATCAAGATGAGGAACCAGCGCTTGCTCATCACCGTCATCCCGCACGCCATGACAGGTGGGTCTCTCCTGCCGCCGCACCCTGATCCCCCTTGCCGCCCTGACACGCCATAGAGGAGCCCCGTGCACAGAACGGGCATGAGGACTTAGTACCGAGCTGCTTGTGAGCGCCCTGGCCAGGCACCTGCCATACCCCTGAGTGGGGCAGGATGCCTCGAGGAYGGGCTGCTCTGTCCCAGGGAGCCCTGTGCACAGCCCTGGTGCTGGGCAGGGCCCGTGTATGCCCAGCTCTGCAGCACGGGTGCACCCAGGACCCAGCCCCGCGGCGCCCGCCTCGCCGCACTCGTGTGCGCTCGCAAATGCGGCTGGCATCAATAATGCATCGGCCAAGCGGGGCGGGCTGGTGTGGGCGCTCACCGTGCTGGCACGGGCGCTCACCCTGCTGGCACATGATGCCACCCCAGCGTGTCCCCCCTGCCAAAACCCCTTGCCCCAGGAGCCCACCTGTACCCAGCATATCCAGCAGACCCCGTCCCTCCTGGTGACACTGCCCTCATCCCCCAGGGAACGACGTGGTGGAGTGGCTCATCCAGAAGTACGGCATCTCCGAGGAGGGTGAGCGGCGGCGGGCGGCACCGGGGCATGGGGACAGCCGAGGGGGGGGCCGCAGCCGCCCCCATCGCCTGCCCCTGTGCGCAGAGGCGCTGCACCTGGGCAACCTGCTGGTGAAGCACGGCTACATCTACCCGCTCAAGGACCCCCGCAGCCTCGTGCTCCGYGCCGACGAGTCGCCCTATCGCTTCCAGGTGCGGGGCTGGGGCCGGCGCCCACCACGAGCAGCCCCTCCAGGGCCAGTGTAGCCCATCCGTGTTTCCCCCTCCCCACAGACCCCCTATTTCTGGACCAGTACCAAGTGGCCCGCCACGGAGCTGGACTATGGTACGTACGACCCTGGTCGGGACACTGCAGTGTGCCCGGCCCCGGTGTCCCCGCTGCCACCCTGCTGCTCCTTCTGCAGCCATTTACCTGGCCAAGAAGAACATCCGCAAGCAGGGCGACCTGATTGAGCATGAGAAGGTGAGCGCTGGCCCAGCTATTATGTGTAATGAGCTGTGGGTGGTCTCAGCCCACCCAGGCCAGGGGCACTAGGTGCTGGAGCTGCTGCGCGTGCCGAGCCGCGCTCAGCAACGCCGCCGCCCCCAGGACAACTACAACCTGCTGCACAAGAGGATCAACCACACGTGGGACTTCGTGGTCATGCAGGCCCGGGAGCAGCTGCGGTGAGCGCGGCCGGGCAAGGGCGGCAGCGGCGGGCAGGGCGCTGGGTGCCAGCGCCTCGAGCCCTGMGGCCTCCGCGTGCGCAGGGCGGCCAAGCAGCGGCGGAAGGGCGACCGCATCGTCATCGACTGCCAGGAGCAGGCGTACTGGCTCGTGAACCGGCCCCCGGTGAGGACAGGGCTTTGCGTGGCACCGGGGGGGGACGGGGCGGGATGCACTGCCCTCGGCGGGCGGTGAGGGGAGGCCGGGTGGCCGGCGGGGGCCGCCAGCCCTGCGGCGCTTGCTCTCCTTGCAGCCGGGAGCCCCCAACGTGCTGGAGCAGGGCCCGGAGCGCAGGAACGGCCACACCAGCCGGGTGCAGCTGGTGAGTGGGGCTGCGAGACGGCGCGGGGTTGCACAGCACGGCACGGGCGGCGTGGCATAGAATGGCATGGTGCTGCACAGCACAGTGTGTCGCAGGGCAGCAGGGCATGGTGCTAGGCATGTCGCAGGGCAGCACGCACCCAGCTCTGCCAGCATCCACATGTCCCCACAGGGGCCTGCGTGCTCGCTGCCATCCGTGCTGCTAATCCCCACTGTTTCTCGGTGCCGTGGCACCACTAATGCTGCCTGCTGGGTGCCCCCTCCATCTGTCCAACCGGCTCCTTACTAACTGACACATTTTTCTCTTCCCTTTTCCATGCCCACATCTGTTGCCCATGTAAGTGTCACCAACCCAGGCCAGCACGGTGCTGGGGCTGGGGGCAAGGGGAGGCACAGCAGGGACACGGGGCTGGGCTGGGCCAAGGTCCTGCTCTGGCCAGGTGCCCAGCTCCTTTCCCACGGCAGCTCAGTGCTCACCCAGCACCATCCATCCCCTCCAGGCCAAGAACATGGATTACTACAAGMGGGAGGTGAGCGGGGCTGGGGGCAGCAGCTGCCGGGGGGGCCAGGCTGCCCCTGGGGCACTGATGCCCCCGGGTGGCTGCAGATCGAGTACTGCAGGAAAGCCATGGCCAGGACCAGGGTGAAGTCGTCCATCTGCCTCGAGGGGTGAGCTGGGCGGGTGATGGGGCGGGACGAGTGCCCTGGTGCGGGGCCCTGGGCCAAGGCCTCTCCCTGCAGGTACCTCAAGTTCAACGAGCAGTACGTGCCCCACGACCCCATCATGTCCGGCTGCCTGCCCAGCAACCCCTGGATCACGGACGACACCACGTACTGGGCCATGAACACGGCCACGTAAGCGCCGCGGTGCCGGGGGGCAGCGGCCGCGGGGCCGCTSTGAGCGCCGCGCCTGCCCGCAGGGTCGCCACCCCCACCAAGCTGCGTGTGGAGCGCTGGGCCTTCGGCTTCAGTGAGCTCCTCACCGACCCGCTGGGCCGCGCGCAGCTCCTCGACTTCCTCAAGAAGGAGTTCAGCGGTGAGGCAYCCCGGCGCATCCCCTCCGGCCATGCCAACCCTGGTGCATCCCTCTCCCCATCCATGCCATCACTAGTGCATCCCCCTCCCTGGCCATGCCAATCCTGTTGCATCCTCTCCCGGTTGTTGCATCCCTTCTCCCATTCATGCCATCCCTGGCACATCCCCTCCCAGCAACCTGGTGCGTCCCCTCCCAGCCATGCCAACCCTGGCGTGTCCCTGCCTCTGGCCATGCCATCCCTGGTGCGTCATAGAATCCTTAAGGTTGGAAGGGACCTCTAGAGATCATCTAGTCCAACCCCCCCGCACACGCAGGGTTTCCCAGAGCACAGGGCTGCATCCAAGGGGTTTTGATGACCTGCAGAGAAGGAGACTCCACAACCTTCCTGGGCAGCCTGTGCCAGGGCTCTGTCACCCTCCCCATCCGTGCCATCCCTGATGCATCCACCTCCTGGCCATGCTTTCCTTGGCATGTTCTCCCTGGCCATGCCAATCCGGTCACTGGTCCAGTCCCAGCCCGCATGTCTCTCCCCAGCCGAGAACCTGAGCTTCTGGGAGGCGTGCGAGGGGCTGCGCTAYGGCGAGCAGTCCCGCATCGCCGACATCGTCAACGACATCTACCAGTGAGTGGGGCAGCGCACAGGGCTGGGGGTGCCACAGCCCCCGGGGGGATGCCCGCCCGGGTGCCGTCAGCACCAGGTCCCAATCCCCAGGCAGTTCCTGGCTCCYGGAGCCACCCGCTGGGTGAACATCGACAGCAAGACCATGGAGCGGACGCTGGAGGGCATCAAGACGCCCCACCGCTACGTGATGGATGACGCGCAGATGCACATCTACATGTTGATGAAGAAGGTGGGCACGGGCCGGGCACCGCGGCGGGGCCAGGCCACACCGTGTCCTGACGCTCTGCTCGCCCAGGACTCCTACCCGCGCTTCCTCAAGTCYGAGCTCTACAGGAACCTCCTGGCCGAAGCCGTCATCCCCCCYGAGACCAAAAAGCGGTGAGCGAAGGGCCGGGCGTCAGCGAAGGGCCGGTGCCAGCGCGGCGGGCGCTGACCTGGCTGCYGCCGCAGCGTTTTCCCCTTCATGCGCAAGCAGCGACACTCCAGCCCCAGCCCGGCCCTGCTGCCGCCCGCGGGCGACGCCGAGGCCAAGGYGGAGGAGAGGAGCCGGGGCCCCGCGGCCGCCCCCGTCCCCGAGGAGGAGGGCTAGGGGCTGCTGCCAGCGAGGCCCCGGGGAGCAGCTGATGGTGGCACCTTCCTCGGGTGGCACCCAACAGGTCCCTCTGCCCGGGCCAGGCGAGCGGAGGGAGCAGCGGCGCCCGGCGGCCAGCGCTGTGCTCGTCCCCTCGGCCTCGGCCCCAGCACGTACCGCCCRTCCCCAGGCCCTGCCCGCAGTAGCACTAGAGGAGAGAAGCCATTTGCCCCCAGCAGCCGCGCGGGAGGCCGGCCTGGCGCCCGCAGCCGGGCGCGGGGCCGCCCCGGCGCCCCCATCCCGGCACACGGAGACAATAAAGAGCCCGGCGGACCGAGCGGCGCCTCGTGTGGTTTGGGGGCCCCGCGGAGGCCGCGGCAGCGTGGGCGGGGGCAGCCGAGGCTGGGGGGGSCCTCAGCTCCCTGCAGCGCCAAGCGAGGGAGCAGCCCGGGGTGCCGTCCCSGGGGGAGGGACATGGGGCACAGAGCAGGGCCCCGGCAGCAGCACAGCCCCGCGCCCGCCCTCGCAGGGCACCAAGGCTCCTTTGGTCAGCGGGGCACCGAGGAGCCCCCGGGACAGTGGGTGGATGGGCAGCGGGGCTGGCAGTGGCACGCGGGCGGCTGAGCTGCTTTCCCTGCTCGCGTCGCCCTAAGCCGCGCAGAGCGAGCTGCTCCGGTGGGATTATCCCCCGGAGCCGGAGCCCAGCTGCATGGGGATTAGCGCTCGCCATTACATAAGCAGCAGGGTGGCTCTTGGCAGCTCTCACCTCTGCAGCGGTGCCAGCCGGGCTGCCCAGGGAGCAGAGGAGCAGGGCCCTGCCCAGGGCACAGGCGCATCTCCCACCGCCGCCACCCCCAGGCCCTGCACGGACCACAACCAAACCGAGAGGAACTTGGGCAACCAAGATGGTGAAGGGACTGGAGCATCTCTCCTATGAGGAAAGCACAAGCGAGCTGCGCATGTTGAGCCTAGAGAAGAGAAGGTCGAGAGGGGATCTGATTAATAAATACATGAAGGGTGAATGTAGGGAGGAAAGGGCCAAACTCTTCTCAGTGGTGGCCAGTGATAGGACAAGGGGCAATGGGTAAAAGCTGAAACACAGGCAGGTCCATCTCCATGTGAGGAGGAACTTCTCACTGTGAGGGTGACAGAGGCCTGGAACAGGCTGCCCGGGGAGGCTGTGGAGGCTCCTTCTCTGGGGATGGGTTTCTCTTCCAAACCCATTTGGATGGCACCCTGTGCTCTGGTTGTCCCTCCTGGAGCAGGAGATTGGACTAGAGGATCTCTAGAGGTCCCTTCCAGCCTCAACCATTCTGTGATTCTGAGAGACCCTCGGGTCTGCAGCCCGAGTGGGGCACAGAGCGGGCAGTTATCGCTCCCACAAACAGAGCTGCCTCGGCCCTCGGCACACATGGGAGCACCGTCCCGCCCGTGTCCGGGCGCAGCGGCACCGGGGCAGGCGCGCGGCGCCAGGGACGGAGCCGCGGGCTGGCAGCCCCGCGCAGCAGCAGATGGCCCTGCTCCGCGGCAGACAGTGCGTGTCGTGCCGCTCCCTCCGGCTTGAGCCAAATCCGAGCTCCCGAGGGAGAATTTTTAAGCTGCTGGGTTGCAGCAGGAATCCTGGGTGCAAAACCAGGTCACTGCACTGCAGGCAGGAGGAGCGGATGAGCTGGCCCRGCTGCGTTACCCGACTGCGGCTTCCTCAGGGAGCTCCCATCTCGCTGCCTGTGCCCTGCGCTGCGGTGCCTTGGGGCTTCCCAGCTGAAGCCTTGGCCAGGGTGAGCCCCACTCTCCCCATGCTGAACATCCCATCTCCATCATTTCCAGCACGATGAGGACAGGCAAACGCTTGTTTTCCTAAGACCTAAGGGGTAAGGGAAGCATTACCAGGACACTTGGATACCTACCTTTGGGAATGAGAAGGGCTGCCACAAATTCCCCCAAATTCTTGCTCAGCAGCTACAGCAAAAGCAGGGCACCATTTACAAACAATGCAAAAGAGGATTTTTATTGAAACCATTATGGTTAGACCAAGTCCTRTATAGCACAATTTGCAATAAGTTAAAGAACCAAACCAAACAGTCTTAGTGTTAAAAAAAACACACCAGTACATACCACAGTGATATATGCCATCATCACCCAGCTGAGTTACTGAATCAAGGCACTGTCATTCATTAAATACTGCAAAAAAAAAATTACACAGGGAATTAGGAAGGAAAAAGGACTTGCTCTGTTAAAAAGAGGGCGCTGATTTGGCACTGACGTTTGTAATTGAGCTGCCGCAGGGAGATTTGGGTATCCCAACTATGTAGAAACATTAAGGAACAATTTAAAGCCAGAAAAGCCCCCCCACAAAGCAAAGCAATGAATCCAGCTCTCCTGAAGGGACAGTCAAGGTACCCAGCAGAAAGGGTCAGGTCCTGGGCGCAACCTGAGGAGGAGAAGCTGGGACAGTGTAGTTATGGTATGGGTACAGGCCAGGCAAGCTGTGCCCTGCGATGGGAATTGTGGAGGGATGTAACCTGCACCAACAGCAGCTCAGGTTAACGTGCAAGGCCAGAGCATCCCCCCTGCTGCCCCCCGGGAGCGTTTCCAGCYGCCTGGCTGTGCCGCTCGTCCCGCCGGGGACTTGCGGGGCCACCTGGATTCAGCCCCTTATCATGCTGAGCAAACAGGCCACTGGGGATGCAGCAGGGCTGCCGGCCCCATCCCGAAACGCGCTGCAAGGAGAATCTGCGAAGAGSAGCAGCGGGGAAACCTTTGTTTTAAACACAGAGTGTTCATACAGGGCTCTCCAGGGAGCCTTTCCCAGCTTCCTGGCACAGCCTGGACACCCCACACCACCGCTCCACACAGCTCCGTGGAGGCGATGGGAATGGGGACACGGCTCTGCCTCAATGGAGAGCTACAGGCTAGAGGAGGCCGCGGCTGCAAGCGCATTATTCAGGCAACTACCCAAGCACCTGGAAGCAGGAGGGGGTCTAGAAAGACCCGAGACTGCAGCCAGGGGCCGGCGGCTGATGCTGCAGCCCAGTTTGCCACCGGATTTTGAGCACAGACCGAGGCTACAACCGCCCCCGRGCCAGGGGCTGCCCAGCAGCAGGGCAAAACTCAGTAGACGCCACAGCAGAGGAACCAGGGTCTGGACGTGCAGAGCCCTACACAAGGTTCTTATCTTACAGTATTTTTACACATGCCCTGATTTCAGATACCACAAGGGAGAAAGGCACTGCCTAAATCCTCTCCAGCAGCAGCAGCAAAACCTGAGAGGATTTTTTTTAGGGTGCAGACTCCATCAGGTTAAGCCAACTGTTTCCCATCTGCTTTCTGCTCGCCAGCCAACATGACACTCCAAGAGTGAATGAGCAGGAACTGGGATCAGAGGGGCTGAGATCACAGGGGTTGGGATCACAGGGGCTGGGATCACAGGGGCTGGGATCAGGACAGCTGGTGTGTGGACAGCAGCTTCCAGGACCAAACAGCCTATTGAAGCTGTTTGCCAGGTTCTTCATGCTGTTTGTGAAGCTGAAGTGCATTTGGACTTTGCATAAAAAGAAAAAAAAAAGCATCCTAGAGCCCCCACACCTTGAAACCAGCAGGAAAGTGTCTATACCAATGGGATCAAGGCAGAGTAAGCTCATGACGGCTTTACATCACCTAGAACCACCCGGGGCAGGGGTAGGTGCTGATGCATTAACTAGGTGGGATTCCAGCTCCCTCCRAGTTGCCAAAGCTGCAAAATTTGACCATGAAGTCAGCAGCACTGAAGTCAGGCACAGGTAAGCTTGCGTGACAGCAGAGTGAGGAACGTGGGGCTGTTCTTGAGGAAAAAAAGGTCATTTTCTAAGTAGAATGACACTTTAATGCCCTGCTGGCTCAGGTAACACCGAGCTGAATTGTCAATCATGGCTGGGGTCTTTCACAACATACACTCCACTGCTACCAAACCCCGCAAAGGGCAACTGCAAATCAACCTGCGGCCAGGCACCCATCCAGCAGTCAGKAAAGCTGACTAGGAAGGTAACCTAACAGCAGGCATCAGAGCCCCACTTCTCCTCACACAAGCACCCAAGAAGAGCAGTTCAGGCCTCCCCAGCAAGTGTTTCCCTCCAGATCCAGGCTGGGTCAGCCTGGCTCTGTGGGCAGGGAAGACTGAGAGGAAAGTCTTCCTCCCTGAACTGACAACACTTCAGTGGTGGCCAAACACTGATGGAGTCCCATCAGCTCCGAGGACAGGTGCTCTGGCAGCAGCTCCCCCAGCCTGGGTGTGCCCAGACACCAGGGGCGCTTTCCTACCAGCCACGCTTTGGTTTGTGGGTCAAGAAAGGCAGCTTCTCATCTGAAACCATGATGTGGGTTTGGTAAATGTGCTGCTGCAGGAGAGAGGCAACTGGGAGGATGCTGGGCCGGGGCAGCCTCTCCTGCTCCCCCGTCACGCTCAGTCCCGGCTGTGGAATCGCATCCTGTAGAGGCGCTCCCGGACATACTGCTCGCTGTCCACAGCCACCTGGCTCAGCCAGATCACCCTGCTCTCGGAGACATCCTCCTTCAGCTTCCGCTTCATGAGAGACACGAAGCCTGGCTCCTGGCCGGGTTGAGGCCCCCTCAAGAGCACGTAGCAGGCGTGACGGCTCCGCTCGAACAGCGCGGCTGTAACACAGAGCACAGGGTTAGTGCTGGGTGGGCACCCTGCCCAGCCCAAGCAAAGGTCCCCATACGCTGGGGCTGGTTACAGGGCCCGACACGCACCCACAAAGTTCAGGGACCAGGAGATACCAGAAGGCCACTCTCCAGCAACACTTCCCTGCTGAAGAGCCAGGAGGAGAGGACTTACCGTCAAACGCAATTATTTGGTCTGTGCTATTGCGGAGCTCCAGGAGCACGTTAGTGTAGGAAGGATGGAAGAGATAGAGCTTCTGGAGAGCAGCTTTGGAGCTCTGTAACCAACAGGACAGTATCAGGACACAGGCCCACACGTACTCCAAACAACAGCACCAGGCTCACCTATTGCTTCCCCCCCTGCCCAGCTGCACTCAGTGACACTAATCCCTGCCTGGCGAACTCATYCCCTCCGATGCCATGAGCACCAGTGCTGGGATCCTGTTTCCTGGCTGGTACTCCTCTCTACCCTGCTTCCCACACACGGCAGGCCTGTCTGCTACGTGCAGGAGACAAATTTTGCCTTGGGGCTGGCTGAGCTAGCAAGGAAGGCACAGCAAACTCGCTTGGTGCTCAGGCATCCTCACAGACACAAACTGTCACTGGCTGCCCTCACCCCAGCTGAGCAATCAAAGCCACCAGATCCTGCCCTGGAGCACAGGGAGGATGTTCACAAGGCTGCGGGAGGACACCCACTGAGGGACCATCGTGTGCAGTGCTGCTGCTGAAGGCTCCAGGCCAAAGAGTAGCAATGTCAGAGGTAACAACCCAAAGCTGCCCACACGCTGTGCCAAGGCAGGGCTCCTGGGCAACCCAGTGACTTTGCTCATCGGGCTGGTAACTCCTTGTCCTCCCCAGACCTGGGCTAAGGACAAGAAAAGCTGGGAATGTCCAACAGCCAAAGACATCCTGAGGATGCTGTATGGCCAGACCATGCACACAGGTCAGTCTGCTCCTAAGTCAGAAGCATATGCAGACCCCACGCCCTGCAGAGCTCTGGAGAGTGCTAGACACAGAGAAAAGAGAGCAGATCTGTCCTATTCCACAGCAAGGTCTGTCACACAGCAGCCATTCAACAGCACTCACCGTTTCATTTCCTGGTATCTGGTATTCCCCCCAGAAGAGGAAGGTGGACCGGTGATCAGCAGTTGAAAGTGTGGCTGGTTCTGGGCTATGAGCTCTYGAGTTCAGCTTCAGGTCCCATTGGATTGCTCCAGATCCAGCCTCAACAATCATAACCTAGAAGAGAAGAAAGAAAAGGAACTTATAGCAAAGGAAGAGGTCAGGTCAGCTGCCTACCCTACATGGCTATGGTAATAAGCATCTGCTACGTGGTCAGACAAGGCTAGGCTTGAAGCTGAGCATCACAGAAGTGTTAGGCCTGAGACAGGCCATGTCAGTAAAGTCACAAGTTCTTCAGGCTGTATCAAGGGGTTCAAAGCTCTGTCTTTGAAGCCACTTGCTGAGAAAAGAATTAAAGTGTCTTCAAGAATCTGATGAAAAAGATCTTTCTCAGCCAAAAACTGCTACAATCAGCCGGAGAGATAGAACATCCTACCAGCTGCACCTCAACTCACTGCCTTTTTGGACTAGACAGAGAAAAGGGAAGCTAAACAGAAGAGCTTGCAAACCTTCTTCCTGTTGGGTCCRATGTCACTCTCAAGGACAATACCAAGAACATCAGGTTTGTAGTAACCGAGCAGCGGCTCACTAGGAGAAAAGAGAATGGACAGATCATAACACACCCTGAGAAAGTGCCCCGTTCTTCTAGAGCAGTCTGTATCCTCCCACCAACTCCCCTAGTAAGAGACTTGACTGCTCTAATGTTATAGRTTAGCCTGGGATCGCTCCCAAATCCAAGCCCAGTCATAAGAGACATAGTGCGGGAAACGGAATGATTCMAAGTTTGAGCTCCTCCCTTTTGAAGTGGCACCTGGTAATTGCTCGCAGACACCACAAAATGCAAAAGGCACCATCCAGATATGAACACAGAACAGGCTTTTATGTTTTGGATGAAACATTACAATACCATATTGTTACAACACATTATATACAACACAATCCTGAGACAACACACTACAGCATTATTTCATCTACGACAACAATGTTGCTGGGGAAATGAAATGCCAAACTGTTCCCACAATAGCTAGCATTACCTTATAACACCAGACGTGTTGAGGGTCCACAAGTTCTGAAGATTTTTTCCATTGACCAGCATAGTCATCTCTGACTGTACGATCAAGATATTCTCTCCTGACCCACTAGGAATTCTTACCAGGTAACGAATGTCCCCAGAGCTAAAAAGAACAAAGAAACGACTGGTTTTCTTGGCTGGAGATGCTGGCTTGTTCTACGTAGTAAAATGTCAGAGATCAAGATAACAAAAGCCAAGCTCAGCCTGCAGGTGAAGCATCAGGCCCTGCAGTTGTTGCACACAGGACATATCACCCAAGGTGGTCTGTATGCAAGTAAGAAACCCCAGCCTGCTTTCTGTGAGGCCCTGACAAGGGCATCAACATCAGCACTCCTGCAGAGGCCTGAATGTGCTCTTAGGTCAACAGCAACACAGCCAGGAAGGAGTGAAGTCAAAGCAAGTCATTCCATCAGGAACACTCTCTTCCCCACCAAAACTGAAGACATAATGTCCTACCTGGGGAGGGGTAAGTGGTGTGTTGTGTGGTCGATGCTCTTCTCCCACTGAGCTTCTTGCTGAAGCTTGGGAAGCTTTATTTCCATCCCAGTTGCTGCCCTGTAGAGATTTTTCAGGGAGTAACCATAGACAGAGTTTGCTGTGCAGAGAAAGCAAGAAGGAAGTAGGTAAGTTCCCTTGCTTGGCACTCTACAAATTTCCAGACCACATCTGAAATGAAGCTGGCACAGCAACTGAAATTTTAGGGCTTATATCATACAGTTGTAGTTGTATTTTGAGACTCAAGTTTCCTTTTGAACGTTCCATAACTTGTGATTTAAACGACTATTTAAATCTTAAATTTCCAATTTTTTCTTTCAAATAAAACTACTATTTACTGCTTGTTAACTATGCAAGAAATCTGAATTTAAGAAGAAGGACTCCTCCCCATGGCCTTGAAAAGCTCTTTTACTAGTTGAAAGCACAACACACTTTTCAAGAACTGCAAAATATTCTTTCAGGCCACTGCTTAGCAATGACTAATTTCACAGTTATAATCATTCTTTTGATTAAAGTTTCTGAATTTTAATCACAAACAGATTCCCACCTGTATAGAAAAGGAAGTAGTAGGAGTCAGGCTTTGGAACAAATCTGATGTAACGAGCGTTCCCATCCACATTCAGGCTTTCAGGAGATCCTATTTGTTCACCATTTTTTCCTGAATGGATGAATGTCTTAATCTACACAGGAGGAAGGAGGAGAAAAACAAGACAAAACAAAAAAGCAGACACAAGTGTTAAGGTTGCACCRTACTGATACTGCTCAAACTTCAGGAGGTTTCCAAAGGTTCTGAGTGGCTGGTCCTGAACAGCAACTGAGCAGGAACAGCACAAGCTGAAGAGGCAAAACCTCTCCTGGTCCTGGGAGGAGCGGCCACAAGGTACGGGATCCTTCTGCTGGGAACACTTCTGCTTGGAAGCAAGCTTGAAAGCCACTTCCAGCAGAGCCACTTGCGACAAGATTTCCCACCTCTGGCAGCCTCTAGATCCAGGCTGGGACAGCAAGTCCCATCACAGCTAAGGACAGTGAAGATCAATTCCAGCCCACTGAACCAAGGCAGAGATGGAGAAGACCGAGAGGCAGAACCAAAGCAGCTGACAAAAGAGGGGGAAATTTGGCTTTTCCTAGTGCCTGGCATAGCCTGCAGAAAGTTCTGTGCTGCTAGGCCAGTTAACACAGCTCTGCTTCCCTCCTCGCAAGCCTGGCAAGGGTTGGGAGGACCCAAGGTCTAGGCACACAGGAGCTCTGCTACATATTTTAAGGGCCCTACTCTACTCCTGCTGACACCAACAGGAGCCCATGCAGAACAGAAAGCCTGTGGATTTCTTTATATTCTTTGTGCAGGTACCAGCACAACAGAATCTACTGAAAACATTTCAGCTGGGAGAGCAAAGACATAAAACCAGGATCAGATTTAAATGGTTGAGAAACGATGATGATCTAGAGAGAGCAACGCACACGGGGCTATAGAGAAACACCAAACAAACTGCATCCATCAGAGATGGCAAGCCAGGCAGGAAACAAAGCCCTATCCTATTCCTTGCAAGGAAGAAACTGGGCAACAGAAGAACATCCGCTGTTCTTGAAGTGAATCTGGAGAGTCTGGTGGGAGAAGAAGGGATTGAGCTGGGGAGAATGAAGGGCACAGCTGGAGAGGCAGCAGCCCATCCACGTCCAGCAGCTCTTCCAGTCTCCTGCACTGGGAGAAGATCCCACCTCGTACTCAGCAGCTTCCCCTTCCCATGCAAGCAGCACTTCAGCAGTGGCCCCAGGTCAGTGACAGCCAATGACATTCATATAACAAATGGGAATACACCACACAAATAAAAAACCACCTTACTCACTGCACTCTTTAATAACTCTATGAGCTGCTACAGGCAATGTGGCCTGAAAATAAAACACCTTTTTTCTTTTTGGATGYATTTATGCTGAAGTTCACAGCAGGTCCTCCAGACTCGCAGAAAAACAGCTGATTACACCTGCTGCTATCCGAGCTCACAGACCCCTCCCCACGGACTGCCCAAAGCTCTGCCTGTTCAGGAAACAGCAACATAATCTAATCAGAAGAATTAATGTTCAACCCGAGCCCTCGTTAGCAACAGAATTAATTTACTTAAGTACTAAACCTCCTTTGCAACAAGACTGCCTTTTTCCAGGCTGCAAAGCTCTACTTGAGCAGTGCACATCYTGTCTTCTTCCTCWATAAAAATAAATAAATAAAGGCGTAGTTTTAAAGTTGACAGAGCTCTTGCCAAGTCCCCTGGGAAGGAGGGAGGGAGGAGCAGGAGAGGGGAGGGTTTCATACCAAGAGAGCTAGAAAAGTTAAATGGGAAACAAACTGTTAAGCAGCTTTGCAGAATAGAAGYTGCATTCAAACACTTCTTGACTGCCTAAGGAAAAAAATAAAGTTGAGAAATCCTGAGATAACTGGGATGACAAGTAGAAAAAAGCAACAAGGGAAGAAAACAAAGGAGAAACGTAGGAATAAAAGAGGGCAGAATTTCTGATGACTCTGGCAACGATACTGCCTCGGGCAGCAAAACTGAATCTGCTTACAGGGAGCTCTGGCATGAGACCACAGGGCACCCACTCCTCTGATCCGACCGGCAGGGAAGCAAAATCTCTGCATGCTTTACACAGGACAGACTGCACATGCAGAAGACACTGACTTACACAAACGCAGAATTATTCGTATAAACACACTGTGAGCTGCACAACTCTTCCCCTCTGAGAAATGTGATAAGCATTATGCAACAGAGATAACAACCCCATCACTAAATGAGCCCTAGTTAGAATTAACCAGCACAGTGGCACCAGGAAGAGAAGGGGGCAGAGCAGAGCACAGCCTCCGATTAGAAAGGCATCAAAAAGGCCGATATTGTACAGAAGTGCTGGCTGACAGCCCTTTATAAGTTTAAGTCCCTACCCTTTGATCTGGGAGTCAAACCCGCCAGGGTTTGTTCACTTCCATTTCTCAYCTTTCCTGGACTCGTTCCACACGCAGCCTTCGAGCACGGAGTGAGAAGCACAGGCTGGGAAAGAGGGCACCCCAAACTCAGAGGCTTGTGGGCAGTTCCTCCGAGATGTCAACAGTGGAGTCAATGTTATGCCTTGTAGTCTAGGCAGAGGCTTTATCACAGGTTGAGAGTGACATACCTTATTTTCTGTCGCAATAAAGATTATCAGGTCCTGAACACCATCACTATCCACATCTGGAATCACTGACAAGGGAGTCAGCACAGTATAATTAGCTCCAAAGTCACTGGACTGTCTCCATTGAACTTCCCCTAGAAGACATTGTTATTGGGAAACATTCACTAACATGCACGTCATGGTGAACGGTTTTTAAATGTACCTTTCCTCAAAGTACTTTGCAGGAGCCAGTCATTCATAGCCCTTTAGCAACAAATCAAATTTATACCTGACATGGGGTGTTTTGTTGTATTTCTGCATTTCAACTAAGTTCCAATATCTAGGATTTCAGCTGATACTGGAAAATAATCCCAGTTGCCTGCAAAAACACACCCTAGGCAAAACTCAATCAGCAGGCCACCAAAACATCTTGCCTCTCCTGGCTGTAGCTTTCAAGCTCCCCAGCACRTTCACAGCATGTTCACAGCAGATCAGTTTCTTTGTGATCTGAAAAAATTGAAACTGTGTGATGAAATTTGTGTGGAGAGCCCTTGAGGACCACAAAAAAGCTGAACTCTAATCCGAGTATTCCGGCTCCTCCAGAGAAAATGTTTTCCTGGAACTTGACTCCTGCAGCTCTTCCCAGCTGACATGGTCGCTCACTATGCAGTTGTAACCCCAATGTTCTCCCTTTGAAGAAGGGCCAGAAGGGAATTTAAACAACCTCTCCAGTCTTTTTTTCTTTCTTTCTTGGTAAATTCTGATAGCAGGATTTTCTTTTTAATTAGGGGAAGGGATCTTTTCAATGACTCCAAGGCAATCCGAGCAGCTTTCCTTGGATAAAATCCACCCTGGGCTGCTGGAGGTTTTCCAATCACTGGCCACATGCAGTGGAATTTGCTGGGGGCAGGACAGGGGCGGTTTATCAGGGTTTTTCTTTTTAAGGACGACTTAAAGTCCTTAACTAGGTGCTCCGGGAGGAAATGGTTACCCTGCCCTTTAAGCAGTATCAACACACTGCAATCATCATTCCAGGAACCCAAAGCAACATCTGTTCTTTGTCAGGAAGGGAGCTGTAGCACATGCCAAGGAATTTCGATGCTGCCTGCAATAATTTAAGACAGGTTGCATTTCCAGTAGGATTCCCCCCAAGCTTTCACTGAAACACTGAAAAAGTACTTGGATTTGTTACTATGACAACAGATGTAAAATAGAAGAGTGCCCCTAGGAAATAATGGGAAGGCAAAGAAGCTCATCCCTGCAAAACAASTAGCAGACAAAGGAGAGAACATAAGTTTTAAATAATTACATCTTGGCTTCCACGCAGTCCAAAGCTGTAGAATAAAAATCAATGAAATGCATTTTTAAATGCACATGGTTGTCTTCTTTGTTGGTCTGACAGTGAACAGTTTTTGGAAGAGTTTCTTATTGTTTCAAAGGGAAGTCTGATCTAATAGAAGCAGGTATCAGTGAGACAGATTCTAAACAAAACATAGGACTTAATAAGCTTTCATATTCCTAGTAGTTTGTGCTCCATGAGGACTGTTTCCAGGCCCACCCTGCTCTGCTAACAGTAGATGTGACTATGCTGTCAGATACTGAGAGTGCTACCATGCTTCCTAGAGCCCAAGACTACAGCAAAATCAGGACACCATTAGCCAAGATGAAAAGTAGGCATGAACCTAGACAGGAAATCTAACTTGGAGTGAAGGGGAGGGGTTGTTTGCTCTGGAAGGAATAATAAAACCTGAGGCTTAGATGCCTGCGTCCAGCTCCTCCTTCAAGCAGCTGCAGAGGATGCAAGATTGCTCGCCTCAGGCTTGTGCTGTTCCAGAAGCACACACAAATACTCTGCTTTCCCACTGCGCAGCCATGGGCAGCCCACGGGCCACCTGAGGCACAAGCAGAACTTCAGCATTCGGTCGTGTTTGACTCTCCTCCCAAGTCCTTGCACATTTGTTTAACTAGTTGCACGTAAACTCCAGAATACAGTGGATGTGAAGTACTCCCCTTTTTGCTTTCTCGGAACCTATCCCTTTACAAAAGCACCAGGCAGCTAAGAACTGAAATAGTAAATCATTCCCTGCTCCTCTTTTCCTATCACTCACAATTCTGAGGACTTCTCTCTCCCTGTCACATTCTTCATGCTGAGCAGTCCCAGGTTTAGCTAGCGACTGCTTGCAGAGCAGTTCTACACATCGACCAAGATGGTTCCCCATCTCCTCCACTCCTTACAAGACAAATGAGATCTGACCTGCTCACAGGACTCACAGGACAGGCTGCTGAGGACAAGCTGTCAAGAAAAAGTGTCACAACACACTTGTTCCTGTGCTCTTCCTCGGGACTCTGCTTCTGGCGAGAGCAGAGATGAAAAACTGAGCTACACGGACCTCTGCTGTGACCTGCAGCTGCTCATCTTAAGCTTTCGTGTCCCGGTTTGCTTTTAGGATAAACACGCAGGAATGTTAAATATCCTGCACAAACAGGAGAACACAATACCTGCAGTTGCTCTCTTGTTTTCTCAGGCTAGTTATTCTGCCAATAAAGCAAGCAAAGTTTAACACAACCTGAACTGATAGAAAAGCACTAATTTTACCAGTGAAGATTAAAAATACCTGCCAGACACTTTCAGATGATAATCTGCTTCCTTCAGTCTTTCCACAGGTAAAGGCTAAGCAGGATAAGATCCCTGGAATCTCACCAGTTTTCCAAGACAGTGAATCATTAACAGTTAAAGATTGTTCTGGCTACTGTTCTCAGCACAATGTGGTAAAATTCAGACTGTGTCACCTTAAATACATCTAACAGAATGGAGATTTTATTGTGATCTGCCCTCCTAACACTCAGCTCAAGTGCACTAAGAAACCTCTTTTAGCCTACTTTAAGCCGTAACAAAAAGGTATCAAATAAGTCTACTCCTGGGTTATTCCCTTTTCTGTCTGAAGCAGTTTTTAATCTTTTGCTTTTAACTTATTTATGGAGCGCTTTCTTACCACACTGCTCCTATGACTCGTGGCTTAGCCTGATTCTTTCTCCATATGCTTGTGCTATTTCTTTACGGCCATCTTTAGAAACGTGGCTGTTAAGCCAAAGATATGTAGCTATGTTTTGACCTAAAAGCAACTATTCCATTAAAAGYCTATAAATAGCCTGTTGGGAAGCCTGCTGAGGAGGAGAAATTGTGCTAAAATATAGAAGCGTTCTAGCTCTATCTGTGCATGTGCATGCTTATGTGTTCATCTGTTCTCGTTCCATCTATAGGGGAAATAAAAAGCAACAGGAACAGCTTTTTTCTCTCGTTCATTAAAGCTGTACATCTTGCTACCTCTCCCACAGTTTCTGGAAAAGAGGGGGTGCAATATCAGGCACAGAAGATGGGATCTTAGGCATGTTTCCAAGGAATAATGCACACTGTGCCTTTGCACAGGTGACCCCTAAAATCAGTGTCTCTCTCAGAGAAGAAAGTTCAAGGTGTAAAAGATGAAATACATAGAGAATTCAAGTACTCTTTACCCCCTCCTCTAGGCAAGATGAGGAAGAATCTTCCTATCTGCAGACACAGACACGAAAAACGCTTTCCAGAGGAACCATGAAAAATCCTGGACTAGTGAAGGAAAAGTTTTTGGAATCGGTGCTGGTGATTTAAGTACAAACTTATCCCAAGTGCTCTCCTTAATGATTTACGGATCTTATATCCCTGGAACTTCCATTGCTCTTGCTGTCGCAGGCATTCCTAGCATTTACACATGCAAAAATGACTGAGAAGCACTTTAGGTTTCTTTTTAAACTGTAAGTGTRTAGAGTATCATTCACAGCTAGCGACTGCTTCTATTTCAAAAGATGCTGAAGTTGTTCTTACAATAGTGTAACGGGCACAAAACACCACAAGAGTCCATCCCGAGAGGCAGGCTGAGAGAACAGGCACTTCTCAAAGGCCCACCAATGGTTCTGGCAAGTTTTTCAAGCCCTGTGCACATCACTCATGTACCAGCATCTCATGCTGGCATTCCCAGCCTCAAAAGTCTCAAGGGCACCAAGTGAGGAAAGCAAGTAGCATCAGCCCCCGAATGTGAGCAGGATCCTGCTCCCCACTCACCTGTCTGCTGGTCAATGGCAGTAAGAGCCACGGGCTTCCCCACAATGAGGCAGCTCGGGGCCTGAGCCCCACCAAGCTGGTTGATGCCACACTCCACCCATTCGACGTCCTCGGCAGCAGCCCTTTCCCAGAGAACGCTGCCATTCGTGCCAGACACGGCAGCGACGAAGGCACACGGAGAAGGCAGACCTGCAGAGAACACATGTCAAAGGGAGTGCTACAACCACCTTCAGTGCCCTGCACCACCTCAGCACTGGGACTTGTCATCTTCTTCCTCTCCCCACACAGCTAATCTGCTTTTCTCTCCCATTCCCACTGTCTTTCCCCTTATCCCCATTTCTCCTCTGGCAGAAGCACACAGCGCCTCGAGCTCTGCAGTACAAAGGAGAAACAAAATGAAGTGCAACAGTCACACACGAGTATCTAACTCAAGACATTTGCTACTCACTTATCAAAAGTCTCACTTATCAAAACTGAAAGAGAAAGAAGAGCCCTTGCCACAAGGCCTTTTATTTCTGAATCAGTTACCTTCATCCAAACAGGATCTGTTGAAGCTGCTGCTGCCATTGCTTGCTTTGAAAACAAAGATGACATCTTGCACTTTATCCTTGTTCACATCTTCTATAGCCAGAAATGGGTAGGCAACTGTAAAAGAGATCACAAGCTAGACACTTGTAACAACTGCCCGAATCAACAACAGGCCTAACTGGAGCAAAACACAAATTCCTAGAGACCTACTCACGCCTCCCTCAGCAACAGTGCTTCATCAGGACAAACTGGCTTCTGTTCAAAAAACTGCATCTACATGAGTACTAAGGAACAGAAGTTAATGCCCAAGGCTTTCCCTCAGTTGCCATCCCCTGGAGGATTTGTCTTCCCATACAACCAAGCATCCAGAATTTGAAAAATGTCAAACAAAGAACTCTGGTCTTGACGTGGGGTTGTTATTCCCCAAATATAAATAGCCCACAGAACATTGAGCTCCAGATAAAACATCTTTCTCACTCCCAGCTGAAACCAAACTCCTTTCATTCAAAGCAACAGTCCTTCAGATTTAGGCATTAAAGCACCGAGCTCAGTCCCTGTTGGTGAGCACTAGGTCTGTATTCGCAGCAGATTTACAAAGCACAACCACTGCACAGGAGATTACAGAAAAGCATTCACAGAAGTGAACGCAAAGCCACCAAGGATCAGTAACCAGGTTATAGAGTTGATTAAATCAACCACAAATTTTCACAATTCATTAAAAAAGAAAGATAAATTTTCTCTTCATCCTTGCTCACAGATAGGGCAGAAAGTCATACTGACAGAGGAAGTGCACCTAACTGTTCCCACACCTGAGCTCAAACTTCAAGGGAACATTTTATGGACCAAAACTTCAATAAAGGTTTATTTTCAGATAACCTTCCAAATGAGGCCAGGCTGCTACCTTGTTAGAGCTTCAAGAGCAGCATCTAACTTCTCTGTTATATCCTGTAAACACCTCCTGGAAAGCCACTTCAATTATGATGGGCCACTGCATATCCAGGTCAGGCATTCACAGTTCTTACTCCCAAGGGCACCATCCCTGCAGGCCTGACTCCAGCACACTTTTATGGAGAGTTCCACAATCCAAATTTCTAGCACAAAAGAAAGGACTGTCAGTAAGTGTCTCTTCTGTTACACCAAGCTCACCTGCGTCATCATAGTTTCGGAACCAGGTTCGTTCAGAAACAGGCCTCTCGGGGCAAGGAATGACAAAAGAGAAAGCAAACACAATTATCAGACACAGAAATAATGAGATGAAGAAGGCAGCCGTGCGCCACCGGGACAGCCGGGACAGCTGTGATGACTGCTTGCTGCCAACTCTTCTCTCAACAGAGTTTTCATGGTTCTCTTGAGCTTTGACATCCTCATGCTTCAGAGGGTGGATCTCGGCTTCTGTGTCTTTGCTGTCCATCACAGCTCAGTCATCAGTATTGGAGCAGCCTTCTCCTCTCCTTCACCTACAACAGAAAGAGTACTTAAAACTGATTTTGGAATAGAGTAAAAATGACAAAATATTCTCTGACTACCTGATATTGAAGCCGGGGACCTTTAAGAGTAGGTAAGCACATCAGTGCATTGTGATACAGCTGCATACAAAGTGATTCTGGTGCTGGAGGTCTCCCGCACGGAGCAAGGGAAAAGCCTGTAGGATGCAGAAATGCCACTAGTGCTTTGGAGGAGGAGGAGATCAGCACTGCTAAGCCTGGAGCAAGGACAAAGAAAGCTACAAAACCCTCAAGATCTTTATGCCTAAGAGTCTGATGTGGTCTGCRGGGGTCTCATGAAAGAGATACCAAAAGCTCATTTTGATGAAAAGACTCCTTGCCACTTCCAGCATATTTCAGCCTGATTTCTGCCTAGATAAGAGAAAGGAAACATCTGACTTTCATATTYTAACACAAAGCCATTCCCCAGCGTAATGAACACAGGAGCTTCCCCGCGGGAAGGGAAAAAGAGCGAAACACCAAAGCATTCTGTTTAGGAACAAAACACTCCCATCTCAGATAAGAAACCATTTGATATTATTTTGTAACTCAGTCCCAAAGAAGGCAAGAGCATGACCACTTACCTCCGGGGGTAAAAAGAGGACACGAGTTGAGACTAAAATTGGACAAGTTTGATTTCATCAGACTGGAAGAAGAGCTAATAATTGCTATTTTAGCTTCCCCTGCTAGAAGCCATTATCTATAATTACTGAAATGGCACCTGGGGAGGCCAATTCCCCCCTTCCTCCAAATAATGAAATCATTTTTCTTCAGCTTTTGTGATTATCAGCTTTCTGACAGGAAAGGCCAGGCTCCTCTCTCCCACTCCTGAGGGCTGCAGCAAAGTGCAGAAGCTACATGCAGGGATGCCCTTCTCCAAGAGCTTCCTATTGCAGAGTGCACAGCCCCAAACCCTTCAGCAGTCAATAGCCCCCCAGAAAAACTCCAAACCAAAAACTGCTCCTGGCACTCACAAGGATGATTTTGAAGTAACAGAGAAGCCCTGTGAGAATCCCTTGAGTTACAGCTAGAATAACAGCAGGCTGTTTCGTTGTTGGTTTGTTCTGAGAAGAAAAAAAAAAAAAAAAAAAAAAAAAAAAAAAGCACACAGAGACAGAAGTCTACAACTTAACTCCATAATAATTATAAAAATCAAGTTTATATTTAGTTTTTAGGCCTCTAATAGTGATCTTTTAAAAAAAAAGGGGGGGGGAGGGGGCAGGGAGGAAATAAAGAATAACACATTCCAGCAGCCTTGGGAAAAGCTGCATGACAGTGTGTCATAAAAAGTTATATCAGAGCAAATAAACATGACGACCAAGCCAATTTTCCATGACTGTGCCCTAACAGTCACACGCCCAGGTTATCTGCCCGAACAATTTGCTTCCCCTGCAGAAAGCAACTTTTAACTCAGCCACCAACATACAAGAGAAAGAAGTGGTGCTTTTGAGTTCAATAACAACGGTGCTCGTTACATGTTGTGTTTGATGCAAAAGCTCCTTTACAGGTTCAGCAAAACGAGACCTGAGAGTCACTCTTGGCAGGCCAGGTTCCTCTAGGCAGCCACGCAACCTAAGGTCTCATGTCCCTGCTCTTTAGGGATTCAACAAGTGCAGTGCTGGGCACTGTGCCTGGTCCTACAACACAGAGTCCCAAAAAAGAACCAAGCTGCAAATGGCAACTCCTAGAAAGCCCCTTATGTGGGGCTGGCTCACATGTGAGCTCCATTTTGCACCCGCCAGCCAAGTTCAGTGAGAGAAAAGGAGAGACCAGCAAGGCTTCATTCAGCCCCCAAGAAAGGAGCAATTGCTTGTGCTTTGAGAGCAATCCATTCCCATTGCAGGGAAGGGCTGCAGAGGCCCCTTCTAGGTGCAAATCACAAAAGGACAACAAAACTACAGCAATGCAGAAGGTTGAGTGATGGGACACCTAGCTAACGACATCATTTATTGGACTAGCAAAGCTGTATTTATGAAGCACTTACTCCAGACTAAGAATACTGTCATTTCTTCTACAGCAGTACATCGTGTACAAGATCTCACTCCAGCCCATTTAACTCAAGCTGCACAACGCCATGTGAGTTCAATTAAATCAATAATGTAGGAGCTGTATCTTCTTCCAGAGAGCTGCACTCCAAAGACCTCATCTGCCCTTCACACCAATCTAGCAGCAACCAGAGGGACAATCCCATGAGCGTGGCTATTTCAAAACCAAATGCAAAGCTTTAAAGAGACTTGACAAGAAGAGTCAGTGGCAGATTCCAAATGTAAAAGACGGCAGGAAAAATGACTGTGCATCCAGCCTTCCCACCCAGACCCCACCACTGGCTGCTGTTTCTTTATTACAGTGAGGAGCCAGTGGGGCAGCTCTATGTAGGACAGCCATGAGGAGGAGCTCCAAGTCCTCGAGCAGGTTCAAGGTTTAAGTCCCCAGTCACAGGCTAAGCAAATAACTCTCTGAAGTCAGCAATGGGAGGCTTCACCACTGCAGTGGGAGAAGGCGAAGGCAGGAATGGGCTACACAAGCAGCCCAGGACTTCTCTTGTGACGAGCCAGGCGGCTCCTGCTGCTCTCACCTACCTGTCCGCACTGGTGGGGAGGGATGGACCTTCTTGAGCACTGTGGAAACTCCTGCTCTGCAACACAGACCGTGACAGGACAGGGCAGGACAGCCCCAACGAGCCTCTCCAAAGAATCACACTGGAGCACAAAGCTGGAGAATGTCTAGGACAGAGCTGAGCGCTTCCAGCACCCACAGCAATTCCCCAAGCCAGCACACAACTTCTACTCCCCTTGGCTCAAAGCTGACACCAGCTTTAACATTGTGCTGAAGGCCTATTTTTACGACATATTATAAATCACACCACCATCATTTAGACTGGGACAAGAACAATAAAAATCAGTGGTAATTATACTGTCAGCCCCAGYAATTCTCCTTCTTTCGCAGTACTGACCTTAGGAGTCATTGCTTACAAAGARCCCTCAATGCCTTTAAAGCAATTCCTTTCTGTTTTCTTTCAGCATCTGAATAATGCCCTTTGCTCTCCTGCCAGAGCATATGGGGAGCCAGAACAATGATCAGAGAGGGCAATGGCAAAGATTCAAACATTGCAGGAAATCCCATTGCCCGCAGCTGCCAAAGTACATGCTAACAGCATGTGAAACAGTCCGAGTTCTGAACAACAAAGAAGGCTGGAAAGCAGCTTAATTAAGACAGACAGAAAACGACAGCGCACCTTTTTGGATGATTTTACCCTCCTCTAGCAGCAGGCATTTTGTCTCCCTTTCACAGGAGGCACAAGACAACTGACCAGTGAGTTTAAAGCATCCAAGCACCTCGCAGTGAAATGTGCAGCAACAGAGTCGCGTGTCACTGCATTATTAACACACGCTGCGTGCACCTGATACAGTWGCTGGCATCAGCTTTCTGCTCAGCCACAGCAGGCCTCACCACGAGAGGCCACCAGGGAGAAACTTCATGAAGAAAAAAAAGAAAAGAAATAGTAAAAATCCACACACAACGTACCCAAAGCGGCACGGAAGCTGCAGAGTCTACAGAAAAGCCCCACGTCTCATAAAATTTTATTTTATGGTATATACTTCTATGCACAATGCAATCCAGTCACCAAACTCTCTTCTCAGCATAACTCACCTTCACRGGGCACTCGCCTTCCTCTTCTCCCAAAGCCACAACAGAGATTTAGAGATTTCCTCTGATCACCCAGCTGAACCAGGGGAACTTCTGCAGCAAGTGGTTGAGGCCAAACTGCAGCTAAACCTAAAAGACAAGTTGTCGTTGTTGATCAGCTGGAACTGCTGGAAAGAAAAGAGGGAAGCAAAAATCCACCTGCACAAACCACTGAACTGAAACCATATAAATATCACTGCGATGGAAGGATTAGCTCATTTTCCATCTGTAAGACACTGAACCGCAACATTTCTAACTACAGTAACCTCACAAGATGTCAGTTCCTCTGGGAAAAATTCTAGCAACGGATCAGATTTGCTGTTCACCGTGTTTACATCTTTCATGGAACAATGAAGTCAGACCATGTCTGGTCATTTTAGAAACCAAACACAGCAATTAGCTTTGACTGTTGTTTTCCTTTGCCTTTTCAGATCCTTTACAGCTGAAAGGTTTCCTTTTTGCCGAGCAGACATTTCTGAAGCCCTAATCATAGGTCGCAATCAATCACGGCCAAACAGCCTCCAAATTGTGCTGTGATTGAGACGCAGTGTCCCCTTCGTGGCTGTCTTCCCGAAAGGRGGCTGCTCTGTTTTGATCCAACGCACCATGCGGCACGGCAAGGAACTCACTGGGCACTCACCTGCTGCGGCAGCAGTGGATCAAGCTCTTCCCCTTCCTGCAATCCCACTTACAAAAGGGTCAAGCATGGAGGAAACTTGCATAATATTTCCCCAGACTCAGGAGATTTTGTACTTCTTAAAAGATAATTAACCTTTCAGTGCAGACAACTCATGCCACTCACAGCAAGTAAATTTAAAAAAGTTCTCTAGGATGCAAGTAAATGTCATTTCAGAAAGTACCTGTTATTCTGAAGAGAAAAGTCATCTTTTCCAGGTTAGTTTTCACAACAGTCGGGGGTTTAAGTAGAGAAAYGTGATCTGCTCAGTCAAGTAAAGCAAACATGTTCTACTAGAGCAAGAGAAGAGCAAACCCCTCCAGGGAGAAGAACAGCTTTAAAGCAGCAAACTCAGCACCAATTACAGACTAGGCCAGAAATAATTACCAAACCAAAGTACAAATCACGTAGCATCCCAGAACTTTTAAAYTGCACTGGATAAAAGTCACTGGCCTCTGATGATTACTATGGATCGTCCATGCCGACCCTACAAAGTCTGAGTTAGATTTGTACAGGTGACTGTCACACACGTACCCCAACTTCATCCACAGGGCTCCCRGTCTGCATCACTCGCAGTGACTTCCCTCCTCCCGGCAGCAAACACGTCGGCAACTCTGCTTGAAGAGACCTCCAGTCACGGATACACTTTAGAAGATGCTGCAGTCATGTCATATAGATTCATCGAAGAGACAAAAAAAACAATGTTTTATAACGAGAGCACTTGTGAGGTGCATGGGCACTTACTGCACGGGTGACAGTGTCCGTGTGGCCCACGGGACACCTCCCGCGAGGAGGTTTGTGGCAGCGTGGAAGAGCGGCCGTGTCCTGCCCACCAYCCTCCTCATGAGCCCTCATCCCGGTCGCTGTGAGCCCTCATTCCCGAGAGGGACGGAGGTGCGGGCCTGCTCTGCGCTCGCGGGCAGGTTCCTGGCAGGCGGCTCCAGCCGCGCGGCCCTCGCCGGGCCCGGGCCTCGCCAGGGCCCTTCCCGCCGCCCCCGGGCCGGCCCCGGCTGCCACCAGCCACCGCTGCGGCTGCGCGAGAGCCTTCTGCTTTCCAGAMCACGGGGAAAACGAGCAGCGATGGGAGGGAAACAAACCCCAACACGTCAAACGCTCTCCCCGCTGCCGGAGCCTCCAGGGCGGCTTTCCAGGCAGGCCGGGGGGCTGCGGGGAAGGGGAACGGGGACCCGCTGCAGGAGGCGCCCCGCCGGGCGGGCGGGACCGGCTCTGGGGTTACTGCTGCTGTTCAGGGCGCAGGCGGCAGACCCCGTCCCCCGGGACCGCCGCGGTGCCGGCGGG